TTATGCTCAGTCAGGTACAATCTAAACACGTAGGAAGCAGGAAACTTAAAGGGAAACCCACTCGGTTGAGATTTACAACCTCTGCTTTCAAGTGGCAGGTGGCATGGTGACCTTGGGCAAATGACTTTATTGCTGGGTGTCCTCATGTTCCCTGAGCCCTGGATATAGTGACTCATTCAGTGAATGTTTATTGAACCCCTAATATATGCAAGGCAGCGTGACAGATTCTGAGGGCACAAAGATGAATGAGCCATGCCTCTGTGCTCAAAGTTATTCTCAGTTTATTATTCACAATACTCTTTTTTTTTTCTGTCACCTAAATATATTTATTAAACAAATAATCACTAGCATGCGGGCACATACATGTTTATGCCATCTGTTTGCAAGCTCTGTGAATTCCAGTTCTTTATGCTTTCAGTGTTCTAAGTACCACTGTCCATTAAATGTTTAACCAAGACAAAATGATAATATTCCAGAGGCAGGATTCTGTGTCCCCTACAGTTGGTTTCAGAAAACCAGAATCCTCAGACTCGATTACTGGATGCAGGATACTTGAGGATTAAATCTTAGAGCCATTCTTACTTGCCTTCCTAGGCCTTGCATCCTGTTCACACAAGGGCAGAAGGACAGAGTGTCTCTAAGTTATGTTAACCAATCCATGCCCACAATAAACTCTTATTGGGGCTCCTCGGTGGCTCAGTCAGTTAAGCGTCTGCCTTCGGCTCAGGTCACGATCCCAGGGTCCTGGGATGGAGCCCTGTGTTGGGCTCCCTGCTCAGCGGGAAGCCTGCTTCTCCCTCTCCCTCAGCTGCCGCTCCCCCACCCCATTGTGCACTGTCTCTGTCAAATAGATAAAAAATAAATGTTTTTGCTTGTTCAAATGTTTGCAGGATATCTATCATCTATCTATCTATCTATCTATCTATCTATCTATCTATCTATCTATCTATCATCTATCTGTGGTATATTGACATACAACAACCTTTAATCTCACAGCAACCCAGTGAGGTAGTGGGTTGGTATCATTACTCCTCCTGATAAAGATGAGAAAACGGCCAGTTAGAGAGGTGAAGTAATTTACCCAAGGTTATACAGATAATATGTGGCTGAAATCAAGCTGCCTGATTAGGCCCTGTGGATTCTCTATGGATCTATTTCCAGGAGTGAAACTGGGAGCTTCTGTGTTTTGCTTTTAATAAAGGATCAGTGGGGGGATTCACATCTCTAACATAGGACTATTTCGGGAGGTTCTGTCATGCTTGAGCCTGGGGGGAGCGCAGGGGAACCTGTGCTTATAAAGAGGATGGTACCCTGTGTGTCACCTAGCGGGCGCCCAGCCCACTGGGGCATTTTGAATCTCAATGGTGGAGGACCACGGTGAGAGACCTGCAACCTATTTAATTCTGTTAGAGAATCAGTGAGGTGCTTGACGAAGCCATTAACTGGGGTTCGTGTCTCCATTCTACTTATAAGACTCCAGGAGGGCAAATGCTGATGGAAATTTATTGATTTCTTTTTCTGCCTTTACCGAATGGGTCAAAAACATGGTATAACACTGCTGGTTCCAATTAAAATCACCTGTTAGCTTACAAAGGTTGGCCCTTTCACCCTACCCCCATTTCCCCCATTTAAAAAGGGTTTAAAAGATTTTCATTTAATTGATTTGCTGTAAAATGCCCTTTACAATTACCCAGATAAACTAGGCGTCACCTGTGGAGTAAGAGCCAATTTGAGCTGTTTATCAAGACTTTGCCTCTGGCCACTTCTCACCCTGGGATCTTGAGTCTCTGTATTGATAGCTTGCATCTGTCAACATTGGATATTTTTAGTGGGCTGCAGAAAGCTTTTAGGGAGATGGGGATGGTGGGGCTGCATCTTTGAGCAGGTGAAGAAAGCATGATGGGTTTTTTTGTTGTTGTTTAGAAATGAGAATGCTTTATTGTGCTGAAAACAAGTTCAGGAAAGCAGCCTTGGCCCCATATGCCTAAAAATAATCAGAGTTGGCCCCGTTTAAAAACCAGGCAGTGGGCTTTAAGGAAATGGAGACGTGGGCAGTGGATAAAACTGAGTAGCAAAGCTTGCCCAGTTTCTCTTGGTTTGGACTTGATGTCAAGTTGTGTTTAATGTTAGTGGGGAGAAGTTGGGGCATCTCTGCAGAAGTTGTCTGCGAAGTGACATTTATGTTCTTTGCGCTGGTGGTGGTGGTGCGGAGTTACAGAGGGTGGGAATCAAAGAAAGAAGGACATAAGGGTATTTAATCTAGGTCTTGTGTATTTCCGAAACCATACAGTTGAATCCACTTAATCATGGAAACAGTGTCAGTCCTGGCTAAGGAACTATGAAAAAACTGGCACCAGAAAACAAAACACAGGCAAATGTGGAAGGGGAGAGGTAAATTCTGGAAGGTATAGACCAATAATCTTGAAGTTGATCACGGCAAAGTTCTAGAATAAATTACGGGAAAAAATGTTTTGTGAGCCTTTGAAAGAAGATGGTCGCTAAGAATGAAGTCGAATTTCCATTCTGACTGGTGTCAAACAGGAAGTGCTCTAGACACAGAAAGTCTAGTAGGGTGTCGCACAGGAAGTAATAAGGTGGTCGAAGAGACTAAATGACAGATTATTTATGAAAGCTTTTGGTGGGGCACCTGGGTGGCTCAGTCGTTAAGCGTCTGCTTTCGGCTCAGGTCATGATCCCGGGGTCCTGGGATCGAGTCCCACATCGGGCTCCCTGCTCGGCGGGAAGCCTGCTTCTCCCTCTCCCACTCCCCCTGCTTGTGTTTCCTCTCTCGCTGTGTCTCTCTGTCAAATAAATAAATAAAATCTTAAAAAAAAAAAAAAAAGAAAGCTTTTGGCACAAGGTGGATGCATGGTAAGTATAGGCTTTCATTATCTCCTTCGTAGTCAAACTACTTCTTCCTCTGCTTCACTCCTGACTCTGATGAGAACCCCCACCTACCCACTGACACTGCTTTTCCCCTATTACCAGTGACCACCCAGTCACTAAATTCAACAGATACTCCCAGTTCTTATTCTGCTTGAACTCTTTGAGAATTTTGACATTGCTAATTTCATCCTTTTCTCCAAAACCTTTTCTTCCCTTGAATTCTCTGACACCACACTCTCTTGGATTTGTGCTATTCTATCCACCCATTTCCCAAACTCTTTGGCCTAACAGCATTTCTCTGTTGTTCCTTAACTACCCGTGGTTGCCTATGGTTCTTTCCTAGATTCCACTCCCCACTCTTCTTGGGAGCAATTTCAATATGTCTCCTATCAAAATTTCATCAAGGACAACTGGATACCCATGGACAAAATAATGAATTAAGATCCCTACCACACACCATATACAAAAATTAACTCAAAATTGATCAAAGCCCTAAATGTAATTCTAAAACTATAAAACTCTTAGAACAAAACACGGGTGTAAATCTTTGTGACCTCGGATTTAGTCAATAGCTTCTTAGATGTAACACCAAAAAAAAAAAAAAAAAAGCAGCAAGAGGGAAGGTAATCAGGACATCATCAAAATGAAAGCCTTTGCATGGCAAAATAGATCATCAAGAAAGTGAAAGATAACCAAAAGAATGGGAGACAAATTTTGCAAACCATGCATATGGTAAGAGATTTGTATCAAAGAATACATAAAGAACTGTTACAATTCAACAATAAAAAGAACAATGACCCAATTTTTAATAAGGGGAAATCATCTGAGTTGACATTTCTTCAAAGAAGACATACAAATGGCCAAGAAGCCCATGAAAAGATGCTCAACACCACTAGCCATCAGAAAAATGCAACTCCAAACCACAAGATATCATTTCATACTGACTAGGATGTTGAAAAATTGAAACTCTCATAGACCACTGGTGTATGTGAAGTGGTGCAGCCACTTTGGAAAACAGTCTGTCAGTTCTTCAAAAAGTTAAACCTGGGGGGGAGCCTGAGTGGCTCATTGGTTAAGCGTCTGCCTTTGGCTCAGGTCATGATCCCAGGGTCCTGGGATCGAGCCCCACGTTAGGCTCTCTGCTCAGCCGGGAGCCTGCTTCTCCCTCTCCTTCTACCTGCTGCTCCACCTGCTTGTGCTCTCTCTCTGTCAAATAAATAAATAAAATCTTAAAAAAAAAAAATAAAGTTAAACATAGTTACCATATAGTTACCATAGTTACCACTTAGGAATTCCACTCCTACTTACATACTTAAGAGAAATGAAGGTACATGTCTACGCAAAAACTTGTACATGAATGTTCCTAGCAGCATTATTCATAATAGCCCTAAAGTGTCAACAACCCAAATGTCCATCAGCTGCTAAATGGGTAAATGAAATATGCTTTATTCATATGATGGAATATTCAGCCATAAAAAGGAATGAAATACTGGTGTGTGCTAAAACATCGATGAACCTTGGCCACATTATGCTAAGTAAAAGAAGTCAGTTACAACAGACTGCATGTTGTATAATTCCACTTAGATGAAACACAGAATAGGAAAATCCATAGAGACAGAAAGTAGAATGGTGGTTGTATAGAGTTGTAGGGAAGGGATCTGGGGAGAAATGTGGAGTGACTGCTAATGGGTACGGGGTTTGTTTTGGGGTGACAAAAATGTCCTAAAATTGATTGTGGTGACAGTCACACGTATCTGTGAATATTCTAACAGCCATTGAATTGTATACTTTAAAAGGGTGAGTTGTAAATGGCAAGATCTCATTCCTTTTGATGGACTCTGAGAAACAAACTGAGGGTTCTAGAGGGGAGGGGGTGGGAGGATGGGTTAGCCTGGTGATGGGTATTGAGGAGGGCACATTCTGCTCGGAGCACTGGGTGTTATGCACAAACAATGAATCATGGAACACTATATCTAAAACTAATGATGTAATGTATGGGGATTAACATAAGAATAAAAAAATTATATAAAAAAAAGGGTGAGTTGTACGTATGTGATTTATATCTCAATAAACATGTTAAAAATTTTTCTCCTCTCATTGTGCTTCTACTTTAGTGACAAGTCACTTGACCCAGCCTTCCAAATCTCTTCCAAATCGGTCCACCTCTCTCTGTCTGGCAGGCCACCCTCTATTTGGGTCACCACGAAGGCCTCCTAACTGACCATCCTGGCTCCACTCTGCAGGCTTGGAGATCTTTCTAAAGGGCAGATTGGTCACCTCACCTCTTGCCTCAATCTCGTCATGGCTCCTATCCCTGTGAAGGTAAAGATCAAACTCCTTAAGCCAGTTTAAAAGGCCCTGTGTGATCTGGCCCCTGCTTATCTATCTCCGTAATCTGGTCTCTCTCACCACTCACAGTTCACCATTCTACGCCTCCACATCTTCTTTCAATTTGCGAATCTTTTCCCCTTATCTCATTTCTGGGCCTTTGCAAAGGCCGATTGTTCTGCTTTTTGGGTCTCAGCTTATGCGTCACTTGCTCTGGAACATTTTTTCTTAAAGACTCCCCTTCTCCACACATTGGGGTTAGATGCTCCCCTACTCGTGTGTTCTTATTTATTTTATAATGCTTACTGTGGGCCAGGCACCCTTCTAAGTGCTTTATAAAATTAACTCATTTAATTTTCACGGTAACCATAGCACGTGGATACAATTACTATCATCTTCATTGTACAGATGAGCAAATGGAAGCACAGAGAGGCTTCATAACTTTCCCAAAGTCCCACAGCTAGTGGTACTGCCTGGAATCGAATCCAGACACTATAGCTCTAGAGTTTGTGGTATTATGTCACCCTGCCTGCAGTCGCTTAACACATCACTGCACTTATTATATTACATTGTCATTGACTGTTTAGTTATATCTCCATGGAACCTTTGGTTCATTGAAAGTAAGGATTATGTCAGGCCTATTTATTGTTGTGTTCCCAGTATGAGGCTTAGCCTACAGTCCTTTAATGAAAAAAAATCAGTGAATGAAGAAAGCAATTGAGGGCGCCTGGGTGGCTCAGATGGTTAAGCGTCTGCCTTTGGCTCAGGTCATGATCCCAGGGTCCTGGGATCGAGTCCCGCATCGGGCTCCCTGCTCCTTGGGAGCCTGCTTCTCCCTCTGCCTCTCTCTCTCTCTCTCTGTCTCTCATGAATAAATAAATAAAATTAAAAAATAAAATAAAAATAAGAAAGCAATTGATTAAGATACAGGTATGTGAGATGTGCATGAAAAGAGTTTATAAGATTTACAAAAAATTACAAAAATAGTACAAAGAATTCCTATATACTCTTTTTTTTTTTTTTAAAGATTTTATTTATTTATTTGTCAGAGAGAGAGAGAGAGAGTGTGTGCACAAGCAGGGAGGAGGGGAAGGCAGAGGGAGAAGCAGGCTCCCCACCAGCAAGGAGCCCAATCGCAGGGCCCTGGGATCATGACCTGAGCCAAAGGCAGACGCTTAACCCACTGAGCCCCCACCCAGGCGCCCCTCCTATATACTCTTCACCTAACTTCCCGTAATGTTAACGTGTTGTATAACCACAATACGGTGATAAAACCAGGAAATTGCCTTTGCTACTATTACCAGCAACGGTCCCACTAATGTCCTGTTTATGGTCCATGGTACCATCCGGGATTACGCATTGCATTTATCTGTCATGTCTCCTTAGTCTTTAAAACTGAGACAGTGTCTTGGTTTTTCTTCATCTTTCATGACCTTGGCACTTTTGAAGTGCACTGGTCAGTTGGATTGCAGACTATCCCTCAGTTTTGGGTTTGTCTGAGTTTCCTCGTCGTTAAATTCGGTTATGCGTGTTGGTAAGAATACTGTAGAAGTGATGCTGTGTCCTTCTTCGCACATCATATCAGAAGACACTTAGTATCTATATGTTTCCTTACTGTGATATTAACTTTGATCACTTGGTTAAGGAGATATCTGCCAGGTTTTTCCCCTGTGAAGTTATTACCTTTCTCCCCAGTAATTAATAATCATCTTGTGGAGAAATACCTGGAGATGATATAAATATCCCATTTCCAGTCATATTTTCATCCACAAATTTTAGCATCAATACTTTCTTGAAACAATTACTACAGTGGTGTTTGCAATCGATGGTTTTCTATTTTCATCATTTTTATGTTTATGAATTGGAGTGCTATAAGAAAGAACTTTCCCTTTCTCTCCATTTATTATCTATTTATTCAATCAACCATCTATTTATAGCAACATGAACTATTGAATATTTCTTTTATTCTGTGGATCATAATTTGTTATTATCATTTATTTTCTTGACCAAATTGTCCCAGATTCTGGAGCCCCATCAAGTGAGCTTGCATCTCCTCACTATGTTCTCATCATGTTTTTGAGCACTTCCTTACCTGCTGGTATGTTCCAAGTTCACACTGTACTTTCTCTGCCCCTGCCGTGTAATCTTTAAGGTTCCTTTTTATTGGAGAATAATGTTTTTTTTTAAAAGATTTATTTCTTTATTTGAGAGAGAGAGTGAGAAAGAGAGAGAATGGGGGGAGGGACAGAGGGAGAGGGAGAGAGAATCTTAAGCAGACTCATGCTGAGTGCAGAGTTGGACGTTGGGCTCGATCCCAAGAACCTGAGATCATGACCTGAGCTGAAACCAAGAGTCAGACACTTAACCGACTGCACCACCCAGGTGACCCGGAGAATATGTTTAGAAACAAAGGTCTGGACACTAGATGTTCATTGCTGCTGGAGTGTCATTGTTTCTTCACTCAGTGGGCAGAACTAGGAAATATATGTATGTGTGAAATACACACACATCTCTACTTATTTCCATATCTGGTTGTCTGTCTATCTATTAAAAAACATGACTTTATACTGATCCCTCCGATTCCATTCTAACACAGGGGTCATTCTATCCTTTCCCTTTCTTATTTGTAATTCCTTTCTCTGACCATAAAAACTCGGGTGTTTATTATTATTTTTTAAAAGATTTTATTTATTTATTTGACAGAGAGAGACACAGTGAGAGAGGGAACACAAGCAGGGGGAGTGGGAGAGGGAGAAGCCGGGAGCTTCTCCCCGCCGAGCAGGGAGCCCGATACAGGGCTCGATCCCAGGAGCCTGGGATCATGACCTGAGCTGAAGGCAGATGCTTAACGACTGAGCCACCCAGGCACCCCTGGTGTTTATTATTAACAATATATTTACTTATTTGCTCAACCCTAGATTACACATAAAGCCGTTTCAGAATTGCTAACCTATAACCTATTTGAAAAACAGATTTATTAATCGTGTACTCTTTATTCTCAGTGTATACAGATTAAATTACTGTCTAAACGTACTTAGGTGAATTCTTTTTTCCCTCACACCATTTATTGTGGTTGTTATTAATTTGTAATAAAGTCAATACATGTTTTTAAAAGTGAATAATATTTGTAAGCATATTTTGAAGAACACCATGTATAGGGAACTGTTTCTTTCTTCCTTGCATAACCCAGAAGGCCTGGAGAGATACTCTTAAACTGGGGCCTCCAGAGCTTATAGGGAGACTTGAACCCTACCTCTTCCCACCCTACTCCTTTTGCCAGTACCTATCTCCATGCCTGTATCACCTGTTTCTTCAGGGCTCGGGGAAGAAGCTCTTACACGTGCTTTCAAAGTCCTGCATTTCAATCCACCTACCTCCACTGGACTCTCCACTGCTTTGGCCCCCAAGTAGAACTTTTTGATACCTGCAATACCATGTTCATCGGTGGGGAGTTTTCTATACCAAGTATCCGTCAGGGAGTTTTCTATACCAAGTATCCGTCAGTCCTACCTGAATTAAACACCTTAATTCAACCCCTCTGCCTTTTCTGGGCTGAAAGTGGCCACCAGGTGGCCTCAGAGTCTACTGCCATCCCAGTTTTAAATAAGTCTGCTTCTCGTGTGGTTAGGTTTGTTCAGGAAATCATTGCATTCCTGAGCAGGGAAGATACATCCTAGATACTTTTTTTTTTTTTTTTAAGGTAGGCTCCACGCCCAGTGTGGAGCCCAACCTGGGGCTTGAACTCAAAACCCTGAGATCAAGACTTGAATGGAGATCAAGAGTCAGATGCTTCACTGACTGAGCCACACAGGCGCCCCTCTGGTTGCATTTTTAATTTAGTTAAGCAATTTCTTGCCGTTTGGTTCCTCAGCTCAGCTTTCAGCAAAATGACAAAGGAAGCACAATTTAGGCTGTGTCTTCATCTTTGCCTGGAAACCTTGGGCTCCTTGCCTTTTCCTTTCCTTAAAATCTGCTCCAAGGAAAAGCAAACATGGGTTTGTTGATGGCCATGATGCAGTTACCTGTCAGGGGATGCTTCACAATAAGTGTGACTGAGCTCCTTGGTCTGTCAGCCTCTCTGCAAAGGAAGCTCAGGCAGGGCATCAAGAAACTGGGAAGTCATGGGCGCCTGGGTGGCTCAGTTGGTTAAGCGACTGCCTTCGGCTCAGGTCATGATCCTAGGGTCCTGGGATCGAGTCCTGCATTGGGCTCCCTGCTCTGCGGGGAGCTTGCTTCTCCCTCTCCCACTCCCCTTGCTTGTGTTCCCTCTCTCGCTGTGTCTCTCTCTGTCAAATAAATAAATAGAATCTTTAAAAAAAAAAAAAGAAACTGGGAAGTCGTGTAGAAACACCACCATCAGTGTCTCCTTGAGCGGGTCACTTAGCCTTTCCTGGACTTTGGTGTCCTCACCTATAAATGAAGAGATTATTGAACTCCATGGACTCAAACAGAAATCCCTCAGAAGCTCGGGGGATAACGTCAATCTATGAAGAGGCTGAAGAGTGGTTTAAGACAGAGGAAGTTGGGTTGACTAAAGTAGAATTGGAAAGTGCACACTCTGCTGAAAGGCATTCAAATGTAAACTTTTAAAAACACTGAGTAGACCAAACAAGATACGTCTGGGCATTGAATGTGTCCAGAACGCTGCCAGTTTGTAGCTCATGGACTAGAGAATCTTTATCACTATGGTTTCTCCTAGGCCTGAGGTTCTGTAAACACTCAGTAATTTGCTTATGCTCTTCTATCTGCTCGGAATTATTAGCCATTACTATCATTCCCCATCATCTCTGCATGTCTAAACCCTAATTCCTTCTTATAAAACCCACTCAAATGCCATCTACTACAGGAAGTTTCCCTAGATTTTTCTCTCTAAATCAGAAAACATTTTCTCTCCACCTTGAGTTCTTCTAGCATTCTAACCTTCTTCATGGCTCTTTTTGCCTTTTTTTTTTTTAACTGTATTATAGTTATTTACATGCTGGTCATCAATCTTTATATGTATATATATCTAGAGAGAGAGAGGGAGAGAGAGAGAGTGCTCCTTGTGGGCAGAATCCATGTCTTACTGAGTTTTGTATCTCCACCACCTGGAAAATCAGCTAACAAATATTTACTGAAGGCCTACTCTGTGTTAGACATGGTTTTAGATGCTCCCCTTAGCATATAGTAGTAGGGACTCGATAGATGCTTGCTAAATGAATGGTATTAAATGGCCAACCAGAATAATGAAAAGAAAAAGGCAGATAATACCAAGTGTTAGGGAAGATGTAGAGCAATCCTCATACTCTGTTGGCCCCAGTAGCCTTTGCTCTCTACTGTTTCCCATCATTATCTCATGTTGCATGGCAAGAGGGATTTTGCAGATGTAACTAAGGTTACTGACCAGTTGACCTTAAGATAGGGAGGTTATCTGAGTGGGTCCAATTTAATCATATGAGTCCTATTTATTTATTTATTTATATTTTTGAGAGAGAGAGAGAGAACCCAAGTGGGGGAGAGGGGCAAAGGAAGAGGGGGAGACAGAGAGTCTTTTTTTTTCTTTTTCTTTAATTTAATTTTATTATGTTATGTTAATCACCATACATTACATCATTAGTTTTTGATGTAATGTTCCATGATTCATTGTTTGCGTATAACACCCAGTGCTCCATTCAATACGTGCCCTCTTCAATACTCACCAGGCTAACCCATCCCCCCACCCCACTCCCTTCTAGAACCCCCAGTTTATTTCTCAGAGTCCATAGTCTCTCATGGTTTGAGACAGAGAATCTTAAGCAGGCTCCATGCCCAGCTCAGAGCCCAACAAGGGCTCAGTCTCACAACCCTGAGATCATGACCTGAGCTGAAATCAAGAGTCAGACACTTAACCGACTGAGCCACCCAGGGGCCCCAATCATATGAGTCTAGAGAGTTTTTTCCAGCTGGGGGCAGAAGAAGACATCAGACAGATTCAAAGCATGAGAAGGACTGATTCATTATTATAACTTAGCTGAGCTTACAAGTGGCCTCTAAAGCTGGGAGCCACCCTCAGCTGACAGCCAGCAAGCAAATGGGGAGCTCAGCCCTAGAGGAATGCAAGAAGCAATTCTGCCAACACCTGAATGAGTTTGGAAGCAGAGTCTTTCCCAGAGCTTCCAGAGAAGAGCCCAGACCTGCTGGCACCTTGATTTTGGCTTTGTAAGACCTTAAGCAGAGAACCCAATTGAGCCTGCCTAAACTTTTGGTTACAGAATTGGGAGATAATAAATGGGGGCTGTTTTAAGCTACTAAGTTTGTGGTGGTTTATTGAGCAGCAATAAAAAACGACTTTAGACACTCAAGCATCACTGTGGAGAGGAATGAAGACCTCCAGGTAGAAGCCAGTACCAGTTGCCAACCATGTGGGTGAACCATGTCAGGAGTGCGTCTGCCAGCCCCGGCCAAGCCTTCAGATGAGGCAGCCCCAGTCAACATCCCGACTGCAGCCTCACAAGGGATCCTGAGCCCAAACCACCCAACCAAGCTGCTCCTGCATTCTTGCCTCACAGAAACCATGAGAGAAAATAAATGATTTTCAGTGTTGTAAGCCACTAAGTTTCAGGGTAGTTGATTATGTCACAATATATCACTAATAGATCACTGTATTATCACTCAGTAAATGTCCAGGGTCTGAAAGGCTACCCTAGGGCATTAGAACCAAGCAGGGACATCCCAGGCCCTGCTAATCTCTAGCATCCCAGACTGCAGACCATACAGGCAGCCCCACACTCCCCAAGGCAGCTCCTCTGGGTCTCTCGTCCAACTCCTCTGCCCTCCTCCAGCCCCACCTTGGATTCTCAGGGTCTGCAATTCCCCGATCTGCTCTGGTGAACATGCTTAAGAGCAAACTAAGCTTCCTTAGGCGGAAGATGAGAGAAAAAATGTGTTTTTTTAAATGGGAAGAAACAGATCTACTTCACAAGAGTATTGTTAATTAAATGATAATGGTATGAAAACAAGATACGATATAGTCATTAAAAAGATATTAAAAAAAAGCTCTTTCTATAGAGATATGGAACACTGCCCAGAACAACAATAACAGACAACATCTATTTTTAAATAGAAAGAGCAAGGTTCAGAACAATGAGTACATTTAACTATTACTCAGTTACAAAAAAGGTATTTATAAATATCTGCTGTATAGGCATAGCATATCTCTGGTAGAAGATCCCCTTTTGGGAAGAGAACTGGCTGACTGGGGGCAAGGGTGGAAGGGAGATCTCATTCTTTTCACTGACCTCTTTTGTACCTTTTGAATCCATGTACATGTATTATCTATTAAAAATAAATTCCCTTCTTGGAAAGAGATAGTAGGCACTCAGTGACAATTTCCTGCTTCCCCGCTCCCTTCCCTTAACACACTCACACACAACGAGAACCCTCTGCCCCCACACACCTACCTTCCACATGCACACTTTGAACAGTAAACACATAGCCAAATGTTCTCCCTTACCACCCCGGAGCCCAAGCACACACACAAAGGCAGCCACGAATCTTTGTGCACCATGCACATGCTCAGCAAGCGTGCGGTCCTGCGTATGGTATGTGTGCGTATGAATACACGCATGTGCGTGTGTGTATATATGTAACTGTGTATGTGTGCATATGTTATACATGTTTTGACCTGACTCCTTTATTCTCTACCCTTACCAGTGCCTGCTTCCTATGTGCGTACACCTGGATAGATGCCCCAATTACAAGGCAAAATAGGTTAAAAGTATCCTATTCAAAAGCCTTAAAGGGGCCTAATTGTAGGTGACTGTAAAACTCTAATTAGGGGAGGCCTCATTATCCGCGATGCGAGGAGGAGGAGGAGGAGGATGGGACCCTAATGACAAAGGCAGCCTCCTCAGACAGGAGCGACGGGCTTAATTGCCCTTTGACAAAACTGGAATGGGGGAGACAGGGAGGAGGAGAGGCCACTCATCCAAGGAAGGGAGTCCCGCAGGCCAGGCCTTTCCCTTGTGCTCTCCCAGCATCTGCCTGGAGGCCGTTTGCATGAAAGCCATCACTTACCTTCCACGGAGGAGGCTGGCGGGTAAGTAGCAGGAACTTGTGACAGACCTCCCCAGTCTCCTTGCTCCGCAGGAATCCCACGTCCTTGGTCCCCTCCCATGGACGGAAATCCATTCTCTGGGGGCAGCAAGCGTGGCTGCGGGTGGGGCACACGTTCTCATTCTGGCTTGGCCACTCACTAGCCCTGTGACCTTTGCGAGTCACTTACACTGACCAAACCCCTCTCTTCAGTTACAGAAGGGACGGGTAACACCCGTTTTCCAGAGTTGTGAGCAAGCACAGAACTGTAATTGAGAAAGTGTGTTGCAAAGTGCACGTCGCTCCCTAATTCTTACCGGTTGTGGACCGGGTCACAAGCTCCTGGAGGGCAGGAGTGATGTCTTAGTCACCTGTGCACTCAGTCTCCTGCTACATGGATCTAATAAGAGTGGAGATGAAGACCATCATCGTGGTGGGTGAGGTGGAATGCCAGAACGCGGAGATTCCCTCAGCCTTGGTGTGAACAAATGGACAAAACCTTCAGCAGTGGGGTGAAGCTGTGGTACCTCTACCATGAATTCTAATATTTACTGGGCATTTCCGGTGTGGCAGCACCATCCTAAACAGTTTACGTGTATTCACTTATTGGATCCTCACGATGTCCTTAAGAGGGAGTGCATAATCAGCATCACCCCCATTTTGAAGAGGAGGAAATCAAGTCTCAGCCTTAGAGACTTCCCCAAAGCTATGCTGCTCGTAAGTGAGGAAGCAGGTTTTTTTTTTTTTTTAAAGATTTTATTTATTTATTTGAGACAGAGAGAATGAGAGACAGCATGAAAGGGAGGAGGGTCAGAGGGAGAAGCAGACCCCCCGCTGAGCAGGGAGCCCGATGTGGGACTCGATCCAGGGACTCCAGGATCATGACCTGAGCCGGAGGCAGTCGCTTAACCAACTGAGCCACCCAGGCGCCCCAGGAAGCAGGTTTTGAACCAAAGTAGTCTGCCTCTCAGCCCACAATCTTTTTTTTTTTTTTTTAAAGATTTTTTTTATTTATTTATTTGAGACAGAGAGAATGAGAGAGAGAGAGCACATGAGAGGGGGGAGGGTCAGAGGGAGAAGCAGACTCCCTGCCGAGCAGGGAGCCCGACAGCCCACAATCTTAACCATGTGGAGTTTAGGCACCAGCAAGCTGGTGGTGAATGACATTTGGGGCTTGTGGCCTTTTTGATGCTCTTGAATTATAGTTAGCATTTCCCAAGTGCTTGTAATAGCCTGGTATGAATTTTTACATGTTATCTCCTTTAATCCTTCAAATAACCTTATAAAATAAGGCCTCCTGTTTCTTTTTCCCATTTTACAGGTGAAGAAACTGGGGCCCAGAGAAGTAAAATACATTCCCCAAGGTCACAGTAAGAGATGACTGTAGATTTTTTTTTTTTTTTAAGATTTTATTTATATATTTGAGAGAGAGAGAGAAAGAGAGGGGGAGCACAAGCAGGGGGAGGGGCAGAGGGATAGGGAGAGCAGAGAGCCAGACGTGGGGCTCGATCCCAGGACCCTGGGATCATGGCCTGAGCCAAAGGCAGATGCTTAATCGACTGAGCCACGCAGGTGCACACCCCCCACCCACCCCCGGCTTTTTAAAAGATTTTATTTATTTGAGAGAGAGAAAGAGAGTGAGATGACTATAGGGTTAACATTGGAACCTCCTTAGTCTGACTCAGAGCCCACATCCTGAACAACATAATATTTTGCAGTTAGTTTGCATAGAGAGCTGCTCCCATTGTTGAAGCTGTAGGACTGGTCTATGTGGTCCAGCTAGTCTGGTTCTGCAAGAAGAGAGAGGCCTGGGCTGCGGGGTGGTGGGAGTGAGAACCGCCATGGAGGTAGAGAAGACACTGGGCTAGTCAATGACAATGTGACAATGACAGTCGTATTTTCCAGAAGCAAGATATTTTGCTACTTGCTTTGAGGTGAAAGCTGTTCTGGGTCTTCAAAGAGTTTGTAGCCTCTGGGTGGCACAAAACTAACCCTCCAATGACTATGCTATGAAGATTACATTATTTTTTTTAAGGTTTTATTTATTTATTTGACAGAGAGAGACACAGAGCAGGAACACAAGCAGGGGGAGTGGGAGAGGGAGAAGCAGGCTTCCCGCCGAGCAGGGAGCCTGATGTGGGGCTCGATCCCAGAACCCGGGGATCATGACCTGAGCCGAAGGCAGATGCCCAACGACTGAGCCACCCAGGTGCCCCTGTTTGTTTTGTTTTTTAGTAGGCTCCTCGCCCAGCACAGAGCCCAATGCAGGGCTTGAACTCATGACCCTGAGATCAAGACCTGAGCTGAGATCAAGAGTCAGGCACTTGACCAACTGAGCCACCCAGGTACCCCTGAAGCTTACATGTTGAAGAGAGAGAGGTGCAAGGAGTCTTGGCAGTTCATCACGGGGAGACACACATATGAGGGATGGAATCTGAAAAAGTGTCATGGATAAGGAGCCAAGGATCTCAAAGGGAAGAGAGCATATCAGCAAACGAAGATAGATGAGAAGGACTTTCAGAGAACTATGGTTGTGAGGCCTATACCTTTCCTTTTGGCAATGGCCCCACATTTGAAAGATTTTGCCCATTAAAGTAGATTCACTGAGTAATACATTTTGCTATTTATAATTAAAGACAGCAAAACTGTTGATTAAGTTTCCTGATCATCACACATTAGCTAACGATTATTCACCAAACAGTATTTAGCACCTTCTTTGTGTGAAGTGCTGTGCTTAGTACTTGGAATACACTCACTGTACATCGATAGAGAAGATACGGCCCTTCCTTCAGGGAACTCTCTGAGTCTGATGGTTGAAACCAGCGAAACTTGACATTTGTGTCCCATGTTATGTCAGGTAGAAAAATATACATCTGTTATTAGGCCTTTTGAAATATTTGAAAGGAAAAACCATTATCATTTATTGAGAGACGACTGTGTGCTCAGCATGCCGTGGGCACCTGACATACACTTGGTTTTATTGGTTCGGGTGTCCCCTCCACCCTCCCTAGAAGGCAAGCTCCATGTTTTGTTCATCACTGTGTGTCCAGTGCCTACAATCATGCCTGCCATATAGGCATGTTCAACAGACACTAGATGAATGGACCAAGTGAATTAACTCGAATTTCTCAACAACCTGCAAGGTGGTTGGCATTCTTTTTCTCTTCCTGATAAGGAATCTAAGACTCAGAGAGACTAAATTCCTCAAGTTCCTGCAACCATCAATGACAGGGCAGGGATTTACATCAGATCTGTTTGACTTTGAAGGTGATCCTTCTGTCCCATCCTTCCTCCGGGAATACAGAGATGCCAAAAGCCAGGGGACAGTCGGTTGGACAGCTCTGGGATAAGATACGAATATGCAAAAGTCTGTTTGAGCCGGGGAAGTGGTCCACGTGAGGGTCAGTGGGAAGCAAGGAAGGGGGCTCTATGGCTGTGTTCCCATGGCCAGTGTGGAAGGCCCAGAGGGCTGGGCTGAGGATTTGAATGGATCTGGAAGGCATGGGGTAATGCAGAGTTTCCACTTGATTGGAATTGTATTTTGGAAAGATGAACAGGATGTAAGGGTGGTTTGGCTTTTAGAAAGATGGGAGATGAGAAGTGTCATTAATTTGTTAACTGGGGGAGAGGTAACCAGTAATAGAATGGAGGCAGTGACAAGAATGGACAGGAGGGATGATGTCAGAGTAGACTCAACTGTCCCAAGTGAGGGAGCCGAGATAAAGCTCAGAGATCAATCTGCAGCCCCCAGTGGGTGAGGCAGCTAGCGTGGATGGCTTTCTCGCTCTTCCTAGAGTTCTCTCCAGGTGGGTAGTGTCCTCTGTTATAGGACCACAGCTCTATGCCGGTCATCTTGGCAGAGCGTGTGGCTAGTCAATTCCTTAGCATGTGTTTGTGGAGCACTTAGTATAATATGCACATGGCATCAACGACAGTGCTTTCTTTGTACTTTGGGATTAATAGGTCAATAGAATACCTTAAGGCCGTACTGTGTTAGAGTTTGGAGATACAAGGAGAACAGATATTTAGGAGTCTATCAGGCTTCCTGGTTCCAACTGTATGTAACCCCTGCCTGAGGATTCGATCAGTTAATACAGGTTAAGCAAATAGAACAGTGCCTGACATGTATGTAGTAAGTGATTGGTGTTTGCTAATGTTATATATAAGACAAGGGCACTCCCCTCAAGGTCACTGTCATGTAGTTGGGTTCATCCAGTCCATCAAGACACTGCAACAGAAGACATATAATGCAAGACACAGAAAGAGTTCTAAAGGGGCGTGATTTATATGGATACTTGTCTGTTGTTCAACCCCGCCCCTCCCACTGACAGCCAAGCTTCTTATAGTCTCTGAGGCTAGTGTTTCATCCCCATTCTTCACTCTAAACTCCCTGGTGGGACAAAATGACTTATCAACTCAACCCAAGCCTCTGGGACCCTAGGAATTCCCAAGAGTGTACAAGACTCAGAGCCTCCATTTTGGAGGCGACCTTTATCCCTTGCCAGCTCAGCAGACCTGCCAGGAATTAAATCTTTGCCTGGGACAAATGAGATTAGATTCCCTTTGGAGAGAGAAAAAAGGACAATCTTCACCTCTCCCTGGACACAGACATTCATTTGCCTGGTCCCCTGCAAAGCAGATGAGCCTCTGAGACACCTTCTTTCTTGTTCACTTAGGGGTGAAAAATTATCAGCAAGAAACCAATTAGCATCCTCTAAGAGTGCGTCCCAAGCCTTCTGGAGTCAATTCTTTTACTCTGTCCTCTACACATAAGCAGCATCTGCTTTGGGGTCTTGTCCTAATTGAGTTGAACCTGAGCTGTTATCATTTGTTAATTGTAGCCCCAAGGTGGGGGGGAGGGAAGAGGGGACAGGGCTCTGTCCTTCCTTTTTCCCCAGCCTAGAAGGCTGCAATCAAAAGAGAGGGTGATGGGGCCGAGGGGTCAGAGGTCAGCCACGGAGGCTCTACCTACTAGACATCTGGGTGGCTGGTTGACATTCAGTGAAGAATAATAAAGAGTCTTTCTTGAGCACTTATTATGCACCAGGCATGATTGTAAAGGCTTTATATGGATCAACCGATTTAATCGTCGCAACTCTCTAAGTTAGGTGTTCTCATTAGTTCCCACTTGACATTGAGGAAAATGGAGGCGCTAGGAGATTAAGTACCTGCCCTTGCAATGCAACTAGATTGGAGAGAAATCAAGATTGGGGCCTTGACATTCCTGCTGCAGTGTCTGCGCTCCCGGCCACCTCCGCTGGCCCGTGGGGGGACCCCGAAAGCCCGGCCGTCCGCTGCCATGGTGGAGCAGAGAGCCCCCAGCCCAGCAGCCGCTGAGCCATCGCCAAGCCTCAGTGTTGGTGATCCCCTAGTCAGCTATCTGCTGGGAGAGCCGCGATGCTCAGCAGGTAGGGGGCGGGCCCGGAGCGCACAGCGCTGACCTGGCTGCGAGGGAGGTGCAGAGGAGAGAGGAGCATCTCTGGGCTCATGGGGAAGCAGGATGCACAGGCTGGGAGAAGCAAAGGCAAGTCACTATCTGCCCTGAAGGACAAACGGCTTGATACCCAAAGTCCAAACTCCGGAGTAAAAGCACGCAGGCCCCTCACCCTGCGGCTTCTGGCAACCTCCCCATCCCGGGGTGCTGCTGGAGACTAAGAAGAACTTGTTTCCCTGTGACCATCTTCTCACGTCAACCCTACCTGAACCCTACCGGCAGAGCCCAACACCCCCTTCCCTGCTTGGGTACAGATCCGAACGTCAGATGCCAGGCCTTGTTTCTGAGCGCACAGGGCTGCACCTTCAAACGTCCACATGGGCCGCGCAGGTCACACACACACAACTAACAGAGGTAAAATCCAGTCGTGAGCGGGGCAGCCTGTCTCAGCCTGAGGAGCACACATTTGGCCTAAAGGCTCTCCGGGTAAGACAGTTTAAAAAAAAAAAAAAAAGCATTGTGCGGGGCAGGCAAACCCTTCTGGGTCCATGACTGCAGGCTCTTAGCTCCCATGGGGAAGGAGCGCTGGGGGTGGACCCGGAATTTCTCCTCTCCTGTGAGTTCCTCTGTAGTAAGGAAGCAGCAGAACGGCTCATGCTCACTGTAAAGGCACGCACGGATGCTAAAGCCAATGGCATGGTCTTGACCCCAGCTCTACTATTTACTGTATCTGTGACTCTGGACAAGTTATATGCCTCCTTCCGCCTCGGTTTCTTCATCTGTAAGATGGGGAGAATGGTAAGTACCGCTTCATGAGCGCTACTGTATGAACTAAATGAGTTACGTGTAAAGTGCTTAGAACAGTGTCTGGTATATACATTTAGTGCCATGTAAGTGTTAGCAATTCTTTCTACAGTACACGTTTCACACGTTCTGGATGCTGCAGACATTTAGTGATAATCTACAGTTCTTTATGCAGTGTGACAGAAAGAAGGTAATCAAGAGTTGGATTTGTGGCAATATCTCTAGCTTCCTGGTTTCCTAGAGTCCACTGTTACATCTCTACTTATAATCAATAGTAACAAATAATTAGTAATGCTGTGAGTATTTTGTTATATAATACCATATATTAATAATAATAAAATAAATTAAAAGCAAGCAAGGTAATACATTACACATAGTACTTTCTGTGACTTGGGCAGCATACTAAATGTTTTCTATATGTGTTGCCCCAATCTTCACACTAATCCTATGTGACAAGAGTTATTACTACCTCCATTTCACAGATGAAGTTACTGAGGTTTTGAGAAGTTCAATAATTTGCCCAGTTTTTAAAAAGTACCCCCAAAATGTACTGCCTAAGATTCAACATAATCCTATGCCAATGTCTGTGAATCTTAGGGACAAGAAGTGCTGGGGATAAGGACCATGTTCTAAAAGGAAACTTGTCTGGTGATTGTTTCCAGGTAATGACCTGTTTGTCTAGGGAGACTCCTGTTTGGAGCAAAAGGTAGCAGAGAAACTTAAGGCTAAGAATGGGCATTTCATTTTATTTTACATTATTTTACTTTTTAAAAAAGATTTATTTATTAATGTGAGAGAGGAAGCAAGAGGAGGAGCAGAGGGAGAGGGAGAGAAAGAATCCTAAGCAGACTCCCCGCTGAGTGTGGAAACTGCCGTGGGGCTTGATCTCATGACCCCGAGATCATGACCTGAGCCAAAACCAAGAGTCGGACACTTAACCGACTGTGCCACCCAGGTGCCCTGAGAATGTACATTTTATTTATTTTATTTTTTTAACATTTTATTTATTAATTTTGACAGAGAGACACAGCGAGAGAGGGAACACAAGCAGGGGGAGTGGGAGAGGGAGAAGCAGGCTTCCCGCTGAGCAGAGAGCCCAATGCAGGGCTCAATCCCAGGACCCCGGGATCATGACCTGAGCCAAAGCCAGACGCTTAACGACTGAGCCACCCAGGCACCCCAAGAATGTACATTCCTACAAATCACATGCAGGAACAGTCTGAATGTACATTTTAAACTTCTGCATAGCATTTGGCCATTATTACGAAGTTTCTGGTTGCTCCAGATCCTTTTTAAAACAAGGCATTATGTAACTAAATAGATAGTGATGTCACATTCTTTTTCTTGAACAATCCTCCACAGCAAAACTATGAGCTAGGGATTATGATCCCCATTTTACAAATGGGAAAACTGAGACTGGGAAGGAGATTAGGTGACTTGCCCACGTTAAGTGCAGGGCCAAGACTCAAACCTACATACATCTCAGTAATTTCCATCCAGCAGCCTTTCCCTACACCATGCTGCCTAAATGAGTTCATGTCTCTGGTCTCTGCCGGCAGTGAGTCAAGCCACCGTACCCACCACACAGGGGAATCAGAGTATCCCCTTATGCTTCAAGTGGAGAGGTAGGACACACCCTGTCTCAGGGGCAATGAGTTAATGATACAAGAAATGTCCCAAAGTAGTTCAGGTGGAAATAAAGGGAAAGCAGTTCCCAAATGTCAAGGGGGAAGTCAGATTCTGTGCGTATCAAAGAGATTGTGCACAAAATATATGGAGGATGCTGACCCAATAGAGGAAGCCAAAGAGGAGAGAGGAGGCTGCCCTGCTCAACCCCACCACCCCATCCAGTACCAGCTGAACTCTCAAGCGCAGAATCCTGTATTCCCACAAAACTCCATTCTTTTTCCTCTTCTCTAGTTGCATGTGCATTTCATTGTGATTTTAATTAAGGGCTGGGTAATTCACACCTTGCAACTCTGCTCTCCAGCATGCTCATCACTTTCATTTGTTGAGCTGCCTACTTCCCTAAATACTTCTGACCAACAGGCAGGATGGGGATATTGGGGGCTGGTGTACCTATCACCTTCCTCCTCTTCCTACTGCAGCACCACCCCCATCTCAATTCCAAAGGCCCAGCAGTCTGCATGGGAGTAGAGCAGCTCCATTTTTCTCCAATATTAATAATTATGACATTAGAAGGGTGATCTGCTGCAATTCAGCCTTTCTATTTGCAGGCTGGTGGTTGCATATCAATGGCATGATTAGGCAAATGAAATCAGATTGGCACTGTTATGAAATATTTACATGGCCAGAATGCATATGCTTCAATCTCATTGTTCCCATTATTAAGCCATTTTATAATCTCATAACATTTAGACTCACACTTTGCATTTCTAATTAACTTGAGGAGTGACTTCGCTGGGAATTAATTGCAACTTGTGCATTCTTATACACACAAACTCCCTGAGAAACAAACTCTGGTTGGCAATCATGCAATTCACCCCTAAGATGGACCCTAGGCTGACTTCTGTTCGAAACCATTTTTTCCGTCAGTTGGGAAAAGTGGCTGGGGACATTGGTTTTCATTAAAATTTGGCTACAAATCACATGCAGGAACAGTCTGAGTGCAAGAGTCCCTTTGGAGGGATTAGTTTCTACCTGAATAGCCTTTCACAAAGAAGCAGTTTGATGCGGGGCAGTGGTTTTCAGATTTTGTGGATCAATAACATCCCTAAAATAATAATAGTAATAATAATAATGATAATAAAGATAATAAAAGATTTGGGATAACTAAAGAGCTGTTATATTGAGCTATTATATAGCCTTTATTTAAAATTGCTTCAGGATAAAGAATGTGGTGTATCTCTCACACTTGATCAGTTAGCATTTGGAAATCTCCAGTAAAAAGTCCATGCCTGGCAAGTGGCTACTATGGGCTCTTTAATGATCGTCATCTCCTACAAACACCAGAGTTTTGTTAATATGCACTCTTGGTGTCAGAAATGGTTTTTTACTGGTGGAATGAGTGGTGTTCATGATATGTGGATTGGTTAGAAATATCGATCAGCCACTTTCTCTCATGAATGTACAGGGAGTGCCCTTTAAGCATGTCCGGTAGCCTACACCCTTTGGAACACTGCCTAGGCCTAGAAATTTCCCTGGGCACATTTTAGGAAACTTATGCAGGATCTGGTTGCCTGGCTCTGATTAAGAATTGATATGAAGCTACTGTGAGTGAACCTTGCTTACAAGATACTTGTTGGAGTGAGGGTTCTCACCTGGGGACATTTTGCCCCTCCCCACCCTGGGAAGGTGGGAGTGAGGAGGATGAGGGAAGGTAGCAGTGTCTGGAGATGTTTTTGGTTGTCACAGTTGTGTGTGTGTGTGTTGGGATGGGGTGCTACTGACGTCTAGTGGATATTGGCCAGAGATGTCGCGGGACATCCTACAATACCCAGGACAGCCCCCTCCCCCAAGAATGACCCAACTTTGAATGTGAACAGTGGCAAGAAATCCTAGAAAAGGACAGAGAGCTTCAACTTCATTGAGCTCACAGAACAGGCTGTATGCTGTTTTTATGTCTAATGGCTAATGTTTGCATGTGTGACAACATTTAGTCTGTGTCTCTCTTTGTAATATACACCCTGATGGTGAAGTTATGAAGGAAAAATCCTAGATCTTTTTTTTATGTCAACCATTGGAGGTGACCATTATCTATCAAAAAAACCCAGGGGCGCCTGGGTGGCTCAGATGGTTAAGCGTCTGCCTTTGGCTCAGGTCATGGTCCCGGAGTCCTGGGATTGAGTCCCGCATCGGGCTCCCCGCTCTGTGGGAAGTCTGCTTCTCCCTCTGCCTCTCTCTCTCTCTCATGAATAAATAAATAAAATCTTTAAAAAAAACAAACAAACAACCCAGTAACTATGCATGACCATGTTGTCTTAGGTCAGTTTGAAACAGTAGTGTAGATTCGCAGTCTTTCATTTTGGAAACTTTAAATTTTGTTAATTCCTTACTTTAAAAAGAAATGATGACGATCTATTATTACCATGACAGAATAACAGAATAAAAAGCTTCAATACACCAAAGACATCATCAGGAACAATCCTTTAAATAAAATATGTTTAACTTTAAAAAAAATCCTCATTTTTCTCAACTCATCACCTTAGGATTTGCTCCACTTTCCCCTCAGACTGGCAAGAACATGCCCAATTTAGAAGCAAATGTTGCTCTTATTGTCTTTAGAGGGATCTAGGCACCAGCCTAGAAGGGGAAACATCTCAGAGAGCTGAGAAAACCTTCAGGCAGCCCCTGGGACAACGTTCAAGATGTACATTTTGAACGGTGGCTTGAAGGAGGAGGCCTTCCTCTCTCGCTGTGTCTCTCTCTGTCAAATAAATAAATAAAATCTTAAAATAAAATGAAATAATAAATTGAAAAAAAAACCCCTTTCTTCATGCTGCCAGAAAATCACATATTGTGCAAGGTTCTCTGTTAGCAATGACCACCAGCACCATGAGGAGCATTACTCCCATTTTATAGAAGATAGGCTTTCATGATTTGCCCGAGGTCATATAGCTAACCTATGTTTTCCAGCACCTGAGCCTAGATCTCTCTGCCTTGAAAACCTCAGATGAGAAACATCTCTGTCTTGATTTGGCTAAAGGACTTTGAATGTATTGCCACTTTGAATGTATTGAATCACAGGATTGATGGTCTTCAGTGGATCATCTGGTCCAGAGATTCCCAGACTTAAACATAACAGATCAACAAACCTTTTGAAATATATTTATATACTTTGATTTTTTTCCAAGGAAAAAATATTTTTAAAAACCTGACACTTTCTATCTGTACTATTTCATAGAATAAAGGATATTCTATGAAATATTCCTCGGGAGTATGGAAAGCAAATAATCCATTCCTTCATTCATTCAGCTAATACTTATCAAGTGCCTATTATGTGCAAGTATTCTTCTGGTGTTAGTGAAAAAGCAGAGAAGAAGAACATTGGAGTCCTTGCTCTCTTGGGGCTTACATTCTAGTGACATAATCTCAGAATAAAAGATAATTCTTCAAGTGAAATAAGTTGAAATAAGTATGAAAGATTCATTGCAGTGCCTTTTTTGAACTCGTTTCATCTTACTTAATAAAAACCTCATCATGTGTCAGCATTGGTCCACAAACCAGCATTTGGGAACTCTGGATCTAGTGCATTTGTCTGCTTCCAGGGACAGAGCCCTAAATTATCTCAGATGGAAGGAGATCTGAATGAAATTTAGATGCAGTTTGGGTTCTCACAGGGCCCAGGATTCATGGCTCAGGTGGGAAGTGGTATGTAGCATTGGGCGCCATGGGGTAGTAAGCCAGATGTCTGTGGTTAAACTGGTAAAGTGGCATTTTCCACATCACCTTGCTTTGTCTGCACCCTCACCAGTAAGGTTGGAAATCCTCCAAAGCATCCTAAGCATCTTTCTGTGTCTCAGGTCATTGTAGCTCATTAGCAGCCCTGGGAGGCTGTTCATTTCACACCTGGGGAAACTGAGCCCCAGGAGGAGGCCATCTGGCAAGGCAGAAGTGGCTGTAGGACCAATCCCAGTAATTCTGCTTTCATCTAGAGATCTCCTCACTGGACAAGTCAGAGATTCATCTCTGTTCAGAATAGAACATGCTGGAAGCATATTCTCCAGGCCTTTGCAACAATGACTTGGCTTGTTTTCTCTCCTTAATTGGTTGGGTTCCACTTCTCCAAAATCACCCTTCCCACTCTGCCCAAAGCAGTGACCTGGGAGTTCTGGGCGACAGGTTTGCGTGGCTAATATCTCTTACTTGCTGAGCTGTCCAGCAGGCTTGGACATGGCAATGAATGATTCAAACACTAAAAATTATACAAGACAGAGAACACAGTGAAGAGGTGGGGGCAAGGACGGGAGATGCAGGGGCAAGGAGGGGAGATACAGGAGCAAGGGGGGAGATGCAGAGCAGAAGGTCCAAGGCTGGAAGCCTGTTCCATTAGCTCCCCAGGGCCGCCGAAATCCTGAATGTGGAAATGAGCAGGCCAGGCTCCTTGTCCTAGCTTGCAGTTGGAAAATAATACCAGGCTTCCCCTGCTCTGTGTGAGTGTGGTTAGATTTGTTTCTGAGAAAGGAAATCCTGGCTGGCTGGGATCTTTGAGGGACATCACGTCTCTCCTTCGGCCTCCAAGCAGAGCTGTGTTTGCATCATTCCTGGTGCCTGCTGTTAGACTGTGCCCTCTCCCTCCTGCCAGAGCTGTGCAAACACCTGGTCCCCTCCATCCAAACACCTGCTCAGAAATATGCCCTTCCCAACTTACCTCCTGCAGAAGCCTTCCTCGGCTGATTTGAGTGTGGTGCATTCACAAGTCTTACTTGGATAAGTCATTCCATTTTCTTCATTCATGTGTTCATTCTCAGTCCCCCATGCTGTTGCCACGGAGAAGGGCAACTGGGTGACAGAACAAAACAGTGGCCAATACCAAGATCTTCCTGTTGGCACTAGGAGGTATTAAGTAACTTTCTGAGGGAGATGCATCTCTTTTCCTTTTATTCTTTAGGCTAAGGCTAAGAATGAATGGGTGGTCTCTGAGCTCATAACAACTGAAAACAAAATGAAGAATCCCAGGAAGCATGGTTGTATGGGAGCAACCTCCTTGGAATTAATGCTTTGTCATGGAGGATCTTCAATATTGCACAATTAAGAGGTAATTTTTTGGGGTAGGATATTTATTTTATTATTTTTTTATTGAGATATAATTGACATATAACATACTGGTTTTAGGTGTATGACATCATGATTCGTTATTTGTATATATTGCAAAATGATCACCACGGTAAGTTTAGTTAACACCCATCACCATACATAGTTACAGACTTCTTTTTCATGTGATGAGAACTTTTAAGATCTTCTCTCTTAGGGAGAGAGAGAAACCAAGAAACAGACTCTTTTAAAAAAAAATTATTTATTTTAAGTAATCTCTACACCCAACGTGGGGCTTGAACTCACAACTCTGAGATCAAGAGTGGCATGCTCTTCTGACTGAGCCAGCCAGACGCCCCAGTAGACTCTTAACTATAGAGAACAAACTGATGGTTACCAGTGGGGAGGTGAGTGTGGAGTTGGGTGAAGTGGGTAAAGGGGATTAAGAGCACACTTATCATGATGAGCACTGGGTAATGTATAGAATTGTTGAATCACTATATTGTACACCTGAAACTAATATAACACTGTATGTTAACTATACTGGAATTACAATTTAAAAATTTAATAAAATTGAGAAAAGGATCTACTCTCTTAGCAACTTGCAAATGTACAATACAATATTATTAACTATAGTCACCACGCTGAAAAGGAAATCTTTTATATATAGCATTTATTATGGTATTTAGCATTTACTATGTATATCCATGTATGTGACTAGCTTAGTTTCTGCTGGCAATAAATGTTGGATTAATTCATTAATCAGTGAATGAACACAATATGTATTTCTATCCAGCATTATTCAGACCATGTTTGGACTATTACGTGCAAGTGAGGCAGGCACCTTTTAAAGTGCTGAGCCCCACAATGGTAAGAGGGCTAAAAATCATGTGTTATGAGGGGCCGTGCAGGTGCTGGGAGAGAGAGTACTCAGAGAAAACAGTAGAGTTTTAAACGGTTTTGTTGTTGTTGTTGCTGTTGCTTGTGTTTTAATACTGGAAAAGTTTCTTGGTAGCAGTGAGTTTTCTGTGATTCCAGAGGTCAGAACAGGGATCAGCAGTAGAGGGTACACAGAAGAAAATTGAGGCTTCATCTGGGCAAGTTATTGAACTGTCCCAGGTGGTCAGGTGGGAGCCTACTTTGGGTAGAGGTTGGGCCAGATATCTTTTAAGGCCCTTTCCTGCTATAAAATTATACTATACAGTTGACCCGTGAACATTATGGGTTTGAACTGTGCAGGTCCACCCATATGCAGATGTTTTTTGATAAATACATTGTGGTACTGTAAATGTATTTTCTCTTCCTTATGATTATTATTATTTTTTTTTAAGATTTTATTTATTTTGTAGAGAGCGAGCGAGAGAGAAACAGCATGAGAGGGGCGAGGGTCAGAGGGAGAAGCAGGCTCCCCACTGAGCCGGGAGCCCGATGTGGGACTCGATCCCAGGACCCTGGGATCATGACCTGAGCCGAAAGCAGACGCTTAACCATCTGAGCCACCCAGGCGCCCCCTATGATTATCTTAATAACATTTTCTTTTCTGGGGTGCCTGGGTGGCACAGTCAGTTAAGCATCCAACTCTTGGTTTCAGCTCAGGTCCTGATCTCAGGGTTGTGCGATCAAGCCGCGCGTTGGGTTCCACGCTCAGCACGGAATCTGCTTAAGACTCTCTCTCCCTCTCCTTCTGCCCCTCCCCCTGCTTCTCTAAAATAAATAAATAAATCTTTTAAAAAAATAATGTTTTCTTTTCTCTAACTTACTTATTGTAATACAATATATAATACATATAATATGTAAAATATGTGTTAATCGACTATTTAGCTCAATAACTCAGTATTTAGGCTTCGGGGTCAACAGTAGGCTGTTAGTTAAGTTTTGGGGGAGTCAAAAGTTATATGTGGATTTGTGACTGCATGGGGGGTAGGTGACCTTAACCTTGAACCCGCATTGTTCAACTCTCCTTGGTATATACATATATATGTGTGTGTGTGTGCATGCGCGTGTGTGTACAGAGTATGCCTCTACTCCTGTACTCAGATATAGGTTTTTGTTTGTTTGTTTTTTAATGGGTAAAATTTGAGCATGACTGTTCATTCTCAGAAAGTACACCATTTGAGGGAATGTGAACATGACCCTATGTAGATTTACATATAAAGACATAGAAGCATGTAACAGTAGTGCTTAATTTTTAGTAAGTACTTACCACGTGCCAGACACACTAACCACTTCCTATGCACTGTCGTCTTTAAAGCTCCTAACCATCCCGAGAGAAAGTAGGGACCATTTATTTATGGCCCCATTCTGCAGATGAACATGGGGCTCCAGGAGGTCACAGGTAATATGCCCAAGGTAGGTCGACCTAGGTTGAACATCCAGGTGTGTCTGATGACCAGCCTCATAAAAGAGAATGTGTGATTTGTATTTAAACACAGACACACATGCTAAGGCCATACATGTGTTTTTTTTTAATTTGACTATTTTATTTATTTGTCAGAGAAAGAGAGCACAAGCCGGGGGAGCGGCAGAAGCAGAGGGAGAAGCAGGCTCCTCACTGAGCAAGGAGCCCGATGCAGGACTTGATCCCAGAACCCTGGGATCAGGACCTGAGCCGAAGGCAGATGCTTAACTGACTGAGCCACCCAGGTGTCCCAGGCCATACATGTGTTACAGAGACTTAGTGTCAAAGGGTAAAGCTGCTGCCCAGTTAATCACTGGCTCATCAGATGATGGGCCTGAAGAGAGGGTGGTTTCGTTTCTTTTCTGAGTGGGGTTCTCTTCCACCCTTTTTTATGATCCACTTACCTCAACCTCAAGTATGCCAGAGGCCCTTGGCCATGCCCGTCCCGGAATGTAAATAACCTCCAGTTTCTTTAGTGGAAGCAAATGAAGTTTCCTGTGACTTATTTCTTTTTGGTATTTGTGTGTTTTGTGTCTGTATGTCCAAACGCATGCGGGTTTTTATTTTCCTAGTTGGCATGAGAATAGCTCAGTTCTCGGCAAGCAGAAGCCTCCAGATGAATGAGGTTGGTTAAAGGAGAGGGGACACTTTCCATAATTTGTCTCGAATAATCACTTAACGGGCACAGAAAATTCCTGCGAAATGGGTGAATAGCGTGGGTCCATTTTATCAGCCCCTCAATGAAGTAGAGCCCGCTGGCTTTTAAGACCCAGGCAGCAGACAAAAAGTGGTCTTTATCCTCACACACCAAATCTGTGCGTCAGTAAAGTGCAGGCCCTGACAGGAATTTCAATTATTTAATCAAAAAGAAAATGAAAGAGGTCTTAAGTGTTGTGATTCGAAGACAGCCTTTTCATAGACCAATCTAGTGTGCGCTCACATCGAATATGAAGCAAAATGGGGAGGAAATTAAGGCAGCTTCGGCTTAAATCATGTGACTGCAAATAGTAAATTAGTTTCTCGATGTTTTCATTTAAGTGTTTAAGTGGAAGGTTTTATTCCTAATGTAGTGTAGTGACACAGAAGAGAACCCTCAGCCAATTCCAGCTTCCTAGTCTCCGCTCCAGTGATGCATTTGCCCTGGGGAGGGAGAGGGAGGAAGGGAGGCGAAGATGGAGAGAGAAGGAAAAGCAAAGCCTCAGTCACGTTAAGGTGCTTTTGTTTCAAATTGCTACCAAAGTACGCTTTCACAGCAAACTCATTAATCGAGCAGATGAGTAACGTCTGTTGAAAATGTACTAAGCGAAATGCATTTAATTTGGAAGGGAAATCAGGAACTGCATTAGTCAGAGCGTATAAATGGCAACATCATCCATTCTGCCGTTGTTTTGTTTGATGTGGACTCAACTGAATTTGTTCTTAAGGGATAAGGGCTAGGTAAAAAATGGTCAACGTTGAGCTGGAGAGAAAAACACAGCCCTCTGGCTTTCAGAGGCTTCTGGGTGGTTTTGCTGGGGCTCCGACTAGAGCCTGCTGTTGGGACTGGCACGGATATCAGGAATCTCATGGGGAAAGTACTAATTGGGTTGGATGGAGTTGACCTCTGACGGGTGCAACAGGTAGCTGCAGGTCATTTCTTTGCAAATGAGCATCCCTTTGTGTTTGTAATTAGCTTTGATTATTCGGCGGCCGGGAGCTTAAGGCCGTGCGCGCTGGGAGGTCAGGCTCTGGGTTCACTCCGTAGACCAACTGTGAGTGGACTTTTAATATCAAATTAGGTAGGGAGGCTCGGGCATCTCAGAGTTAGATTCACCAGCATCTCTCCTGCCGTCCACGTGGGAGGAGAGGGGGCTCTTTAAATTGGCGATTGTCTAGACCCTCAGCTCTCCCGTGCACGGTTCCTTGCGTTTCCCCAACTCCCTTCTCAGGCCAAGACGTCTTTCTTCTCTAGACTCCTACAAAGCTGTTGGTCTGTCCCTGTGTTATCAGAGCAGTGGCTACTGAGCATACCCTAATGTGTATGCCATGTTCAACCTCTTTTAATGGTTGAATAATATTTTTTGCTTTTACCTTTTTATTATGGACATTTTCCACAAAGAGGAAAACAAAGAAAATAGTATCAGGAACTTCCAGGTATTGATCACTAAAATTTAACAGGTACTAAACGTTTGTCACATTTATTTCATTTTTACCCCACCCCGGAGGTTTACTTAAATTCAGGCAATATGATGTTTCACCCAAATTACTTAAAAATACACATTTTTTAAAAAAGTAAAAGGACATTTTCCTGTAGAACCACAATACCATTATCACCTTGAACAAAATTAACAAGGATTCCTTCATGTTCTAATACCTATCCATATTCAAATGTCCCTATTTCTCTAAAAGTATTTTTAATGGTTGGTATGTTCAGAGCAGAATCCAGTCAAGGACCATGCACAGCATGTCTTTGTTTGTTTTAAAGATTTTATTTAGGGTGCCTGGGTGGCTCAGTTGGTTAAGTGACTGCCTTCGGCTCAGGTCATGATCCCAGAGTCTGCTTCTCCTCCTGACCCTCCCCCATCTCGTGCTCTCTCCCTCACTCAAATAAATAAATAACATCTTTA